GGATAATCTTTTGCTTCACTGTCCTTCTCTCTTCTATTAGTTTCCAAGTGTCCGTAGTGAGCCACTGTTTGTCCTGTCTCTTTTTTCTGCCTAGAATTTCTATGCAGGTTTGGCTCCACACCGTTTTCAAGTTGTTCCAGTGCTTTTCGACGCCGACCTTTCGCTGGTGTTGATTTGTGTCTCGGCTTTGTCCTTTATGCTTGCAATGAAGATGTCCTTTGTAGCCTGGTCCTTCAGCTTTTGAGTGTTGAACTTGGCTTGTGGTCTATCTGCAGCTCCTGATTCCCTGAAAGCTTTTAATTTGATTTGGATTGTCCCTTGTACGAGATAGTGGTCTGAGCCAACGTCTGCTCCTCTTCTTGCTTTTGTGTCCAGTAGGCTGCGCCTCCACTTCCTTGAGATTGAGATGAAGTCGATTTGGTTTTTGGTTTGCCCGTCTGGTGACACCCATGTAGCCTTGTGGATATCTTTGTGCTTGTATACACTGCCACCAATCACCAGTTCGTTGAAGGCGCAGAAGTCGGCGAAGAGTTCTCCGTTTTCATTCATTTCTCCTAGAGCTTCTCTACCCATGATGAGTTCCCTTCCCGTATTGTCTGGTCCCAGTTTGGCGTTCATGTCTCCCATTAGTATTTTCATGTCGCCAGCTGGAGTATTGTCCATTGTTGCCTGTAGTTGCCTGTAGAATTCTTCTTTCTTCTCGAGGTCTGCGTTGTTTGTGGGTGCATAACATTGTATGATTGACACTTTCCTTCCTTTGGAGTTGAACCTGGCGGTCATTATCCTGGACGAAATCGCCTCCCATTGTATCAGGGCTTTCGTTGCCGTTGGTGACATCATGATAGCCACGCCCTCGGTGTGCGTGTGGTTATCTTCTGGGTGACCGGAGTAGATCACTGACTCACCTGTTGACAATTTGGTGAGTCCACTCCCATTCCATCTGCTCTCACATATTCCCAGCACTTGTATTCCGTATCTTTTCATCTCGTTGGCGATCTGGGCAGCTTTCCTGTCTCGTACATAGTTCGGACGTTCCATGTTCCTACACAGACTTTTTCTTTTGGTGCAAGAGGTTCATTATGCTGAAGTTCTGTAGCAATTTTGTTTACAGGGTGGGGTTGCTAGCCTCACGCCTGAGAAAAGAATGATTACATTAAGTAAAAGTTTAGAGAGAAGCAACTTTTTGGGTTGCTCCCCTCAAAATCAGAAAATAACGGACAAACAATGAGAACAACATCAACAAAGGAAACAGTTCACAGAAAAAAGGGCAAAAAGCGACGACAACTATACAATAAGACAACATGCAATATAGTTCAGTACATTTAACTAAAATGATATCTTAACCATAAACTCACTGACTTGGAGCAACTTGAACATATAAATCCAACAATATATACAATTATAGATGTGTTTATGTTTAAAAATTCCACAAATCCAAACAGTTAGTTATGTGTATTATCTGTCAATAAGATTGTATTTTTTGGATTCAGTGTTCGAAAGGTTAATAATTGTGATAGTTTCCGCAAACTCTTGGCATAAAATTTTACAGAAATAAGAGTTTTTATTAATAAGCAAAATGTAGCGTAGTAGTCGAAAAGCGCGCGCGGCATAGAGGGATTAAGACCATGAAAGGTGGAAGTGTTGAACGAACGTCTTCTGTACACAGAGCTCTGGCTTTTCTGTTTTCATGAGTCGGGTACGTAGGAATTTGGGTAAATTACTTCTTGCCTTGTAGAAGACTTTTAAGGCGGGGGCTATAGAGATCAATGGGTGATCATTATTGACAAGATGTTCAATGATTGCGCTTCTTATTGCCCCAACTTCCACCTCTCCGTAACCATGCAGGATAGTGAGCGTTCTTGCGCCCTCTTGGACAAAACTCGAGTCTAACGACTGGTATACTTAGCTCCATACGAGCAGGTGTATTGATGAACACACATAGAGTTAGTTGACAGCGGGATCTTGTCCTTCAGGTTATTGAACAGTACTGGTCGGTTAGTAAAGGCTATTCTTAGAGATGCAGCAGGGAATGTTCTTTTCAGGGACTGTGATATCCTTCTTTTTTCATCGTATCGGAAGCCAAGTCACCTCTGAATTCCAAGCTCATGTACAGTATTCTCTTGGATGCGGATGATAAGACACGTTTTATAGGATTTGAATGTATATTCTTATCTATAAAATGTGATGGAAATCCATTTTCTATTAGGATTTTCCTCTTAAGGTATAATTCATCTTCCACAGTATCAGGGCTACAAATTCGCCGAATACGAGTGGCAAGCGACCGGACCGGGTTTCGTTTTAGACCAATGGGTATCCAGCTGTAGAAATTTGTCAGTTGATCATTCCATTACAGCTTTCCATAAATCGATCTCTTCAGAGTTCCATCGGTCCTCATTGATAAGTTCACATCGAGGAAATGAATGCTAGACTCGTTCTACATTTTGAGTGTGAATCTTATCGCAAGATGGCAATCATTAAATACATTTAATATATTATTCAAGTTACAATCACTATTACAAATAATAAAGGTGTCATCTACATACCTTTTGTACATTTGAAAGTGTTAGGAAGAGGCAAAACACATGCAATTATCAAGTTATTATCATGTCGTTGACATGCATTTGTTTCTGCCTTCTGATTGGACGCTTGCACAATTCCAAACTCTCAACCGGATTGGTTGATTTCCAGTCTACCTTATTTTTGTATAAATACAGTCACTTTTGTCATAAATAAATGATTCTGGTTTTGCCGCCGATTACCGTGTGTTCTGCTTTACCAGTTAAGTGGGCACTGGTCAGTAGTTAAGCTGTTACCTCGAGACAAAGATCCAGCATCATAATAGAAAGCTTTGGATTTTAGGCTTCAGTTGACCATTTTCTAGACTGGACATAAAACAGTCTGCAAGGAGAGGACCCAAGGGAGAACCCATCCTTCTGTCGGTAGATTTTTTCATTGAAAGTAAACTGTACATTCAATATACATCTCAAAAGTAGTTCTTTTAGATGTGTAGTGGGTATCCCTATATTCAGTTTGTCGCCTTCAATATATTTTCATATAAAACATATGGTTTCTGTCAGTGGAACGTTCGTAAATAGGGATTCTACGTCGAAAGACAACATATGTTTATTCGACGCATTTATATCTTGTATACATTCAACAAATTGTAAGGTATCCCGAAGGGAATGATTCGATAGTTGTCCCCTGACAGGTTCGAGGATTTCAGCTAACCACCCAGCTACTGACTGGATGATGTCATTCTAAATGAATTCTTCTTTTTTTTACAACGTTAAATTCTATGCTATTAAATTTCAAACAATATTACGTAACGTTTTCATTTTATTTTATTCGATTTGTCTACTAATCCTACGATTTCACACACCCTTTTTCAAGTTCTATCTATCCTATGAATTATTCTATGCAAGACATTAATTTTTTTGCCACTTGACACTTAACTATGAGTATAGTCACAAACATTTTAGTTTTAATTGCATTTCTCTTGTAAGTATTTGTAATGGTAGTATTAGTATTTTACGATGGCAGAATTACAAAATTCAACCAAAACACAGAGGGATGAATTTAGGAATTTGTATTTGGCGGAATTATTATTCAATTCATTTAAGAAAAATATTAACAAGCAACAGTAAGTATTTAAACAATACAGAGATAGAAATTGTCAATCACCACATCCGCCACACGTCGAATGTCTCCTTGCGTATTTATAATGATGTCGCGGTTTGCTTGCCAGTCTCTGCTATCTTCTAACTGATTCCGTGATATTATTTTCATCAGTATCATCTGGACTTATTTCTGAATTATCTACAAAATCAGGATTAGTTGCGGAATCATTAAAATTATAATCGGAACGACCTACTTCATTTATTCTCACTTGATCCAGGTGTCTGTTATGAACAGCGTGATCTTCCATGTCTAATATCTTTACCATTCGATTTCCCATTTTTTATAGTGTGATTCCAACAGAAGGTGTGTAGTCATTCCCTCTGTAATAATGTACATCAGAAGTCGTGGACATCAGATGCTTTCTGAGAATTTGAGATTTGAATAGTTTAGCACTACTTTCATGGGTACTTGTATGCTCCGATTGCGATATTGAAATAGAACTTTATCTACACATCTCTGTAGCTCATCGAAATTCTTAGGACTCACTGATGCTATAGCACTCTTTAATGTTCGTACAAAATTTTCTGCCAACTCGTTAGACTGAGGATGACGTTGTGCTGTGTACAAATGACGACAACCTATATGTTTAACCCAATCATTGAAGTTCTTCTCCGTAAAATGAGTGCCATTGTCAATAACTAAGAGATCTGGAATTCCTTCTCAACTAAAAATCTTTCTCAACGCTCTGTGAGTGAATTTTGCATTAGGACTGTCTGTAATGATAACTTCTGGCCATCTAGAATAAGAATCCACAATAATTAAAGCATAGTATGAATTTAAGAATGGACCACAGTAATCTGCATGAATACGCTGCCAAACCTCACAAGATGCAGGCCACGGTGTCCACGATGACTTCCCATAGGACATTTTATGCAAACAGCTAGAACACCTCTTTGATCTTTTGCTAATGTCAGTTTCAATTTCCAGCCACCAGCATGTTAGGCGTGCTAATGATTCCATCTTATCAGCTCCTAGATGAGCAGAATGTAGATCATCCAAAATCGTAGATCTTAATGTTGGAGGAATAACAATTTTGTCATTCAGGCATAGAAATCCTTCAGGATGGACTGAAATCTCATCTCTTCGCTTAATAAAAGTCTGGAAAGTTTCGCTTACACTGACCATTCCAACCTCTTTTTGTTGCCTTTATAACGCATCCGTAATATTTCCGAGTATCATTTATAAGTCGAACTCAATCCAACAGTAACGGCTGGACTAACAAACAACATGTATCACTAGCAGCATTTACAAAAGGAATTTTCCATGAACACTGTCCAAATTCTATTCTTATATCAAAATTCTTTTTTTTATATATCATTAAGGATGATTCTGTAGTGGTAGCTGATTTCGGTGTATCCAAGTTGGCTCAGTCAATCCCCTCGAGTAAACAGAAGACAGAAGAGACAAACAACAATTCTATAACACGTAGTAATACACTCCCATCTCAAGATTCTATAGATTCAATGACTAACAGTGATAATGAACGTTGTCATACGCCTCGTCTACGTCGGCATCATCCACATAATCATCCAAGAAGGCATACGGTGGTAAGTAAATTTTGGACTCAATATTTTGTTGTTGTTGTTGTTGTTGAGTGTATGTATGTAAACAAACTTTGAAATGTACAAGTAAGTGAAGATGTTTTTGATTGAACACTAGTGACTAACTAGTGAGATGTGTCTAGTCCTCTTGTTTGGTGCAGACTGAATTCTATCAGTCAGTCAGGTTTGTAATGTGGCCACCATGCCACTAGGTAGCTAGACATCACGGTGCACTGTGAATTGTAGGTATTAGACGGTTGGAGGCAATCGGCCACAGGAAGCCTTAGCTGCACCTAGTTTTCGTGCTAGTTGGCACTCACCAGTCAGTCAGCAAAGCGTATCTGCAACCTTGAAGGAATTCATGTCCTTTCTGAGATTCGAACCCGCGTCACCCGGTGAGTACTGCAATCAGAGACGTCACTATTGAGCTATTCGGGCACCGTGATGGCGAGCTATCTATAATGGTGGCTACATTACAACCTGATTGATAGAATTCAGTCTGCACCAAAGACAGGACTAGATACATCACACTAGTTACTAGTGTCAAATCAAAATATCCACTACAGTCCTACAGGAGGTCAATCGCGAACCTGAATAGCTCAGTGGTAACGTTTCTGACTGCAACACTGGGTGACGCGGATTTGAATCTCGGGAGGGACATGAGTTCCTTCAAGGTTGCAGATACGCCTTGCTGTTTGGTGAGTGCCAACTAGCACGAAACCTAGGTGGAAGGCTTCCTCTGACTAATTACCTCAAACCATCTAACTTATCCTGTTTCATTTGTACTAAATAAATACGTTGCACCATCAAAGTAATTCGGAAACGACTTCAACATTATGGCGTGCATTTTCTCAAGTCCTTATCAATCTCGTTCAACAGTTGGCTATATGACAGTGCCATTGTAACAACAGAAGACGAGGGATAGGCTACAGTTCGTTTATTAAGGAATTCAACACGTATTTATATATTTTCGTGTACATTAGTATAGCTTATTCAAGCTAACAAACGCAGTTTTCTGATTGGTTCTTTCTCACAGAAAGTTGACCTTGCATTTCATTGTGGCTGTTTCTTGAATGTCAGGTCATCTATATGTTAACCGTATCTGCCCACGCCAAGTCTGATGTGACTGGTTGTTGGATCAGTCTTGTTCATATTTTCTCACGTCCAATATTGGGGACATAAACATTAACGTAAATAATTGTCTACCAATTTGGCTAGCAGCCTGTTCTCACTACACCATGTGTCGCGTGATCCACACCGGGAAACTCAGAGAGGTATTTCAGGTAAATACAGGAGTAAAAAAAAGCTGGCCACCTGCTTATTTTCACCAGTGATATTCTGAATTGTGGTGGACTAGACTGTAAGTCAGACTGTGGGGAATTAGAAGACAGGAATACGCTGGACGACCGATAAGAAGACCCTAGAAGACCTGATGATTTATGTTTAATGCCACACAAACTCAAAGACCTGCTGGCGAACATCAACAAACTGGCTGAAAAGGCTAACAGAGGAGACAGGACTGCAAATGAATATAGAGGAGACAGAGGCGATCAAGATAAGGAACCAATCAACGATAACAACATCAACAACGAGCACCAATCACGATCAGTGGAAGAAATCTAAGGGCGGTTACTTCTTTCGCTTATCAAGAAAGCCTGGTTTCAAACACAGGCAGTCGGAACTGATGAAGATGTCACCGCCAGCCTGCCAGCCAGTCAGAATCAGAAAGGCAAGATACGCCTTCATCAACCTGAAACAAGTTTTGGGAGTCTTCTACACTAATTCAGTACAGTTTTCAAGACCAACATTAAGTCAGTCGGTTCGACTAAATGCGTCAGAAACGTAACACACGCGTTACATACAAAGAGTATTGCCAACAGATAGCAAACTTTTGTCAACCTGCCTACCTTCTCTGTATATTGAGGATCAAATGGCCAGAAAGAAATAGTAACAAGAAACTATGGGAACAAACCAACAGGCAAAAGCTAATTGCTCAACAAATATGCAAAAGAAAATGGAGATAGACATTGGGGACATACTGAAGAGAGATGGTCAGATGATATCACGCGGCGCCAGCAAAGCCATCAATCGAGCGGAAACGACGAGTTGCGCATTGATCCTATTGAGGATGATATTGAGGAAATCGTGTGAGGAGGAGACGAGAGATTATGGGCAATTGTGTACCCAGTTGAAAAGACCATCAGAAAATGCAACGAAGTGGAGGTGTGTGTGTCTTTGATGCTCTGTATTCCATTCGGAGCCCAAGGGAAATATTTAATATTCAATTCACAGTTATCTTCAGCTGTAATCTTTTTCAAGTGTTGGTTTGTAGGGATTTGATTGGTTACAGGATTTCATCATAAGCTGAGATTAGTTTGAGAACCATTGGAAAACCTGGGAGTACTGGGCAGCTGTTTCGTCAGTCTGATTTGGGACTCTTCATCAGTACGCACCCACCTCAGAGGGGTCCGAACCTAGGACCTTCCTGTTACAAGGCCAGAGGGCTCGTAGACAATTAAGCCACTGAGACCCGATCCAATGACCAGCCCATGAATTATAACTTGTGCCAATTCACGACATAGCGCGACCGCTAGTCAGTGTCTTCGGTGAGTATTTGTCCCCACGCCCGACTTGCCGCACCTTACTGGTCACGACTGCTCACTAGAAGCCTAGTTAACTACCTACCTGAATAGGGCAAGTCGCTAGTGAGCATCTCATCGATATTCAAGTGTTGGTTTGTTTTTGTTTTGTTTTTTCCTGTCGGCCATGGTTGTGATTTCACACCTCGATGACTGTTCCCATTAGGGGTCATTCACCGCATTGTTTGCTGTTTGCTGTCATCGCTACTGTTTCATCCAGTCGAACTCCCCTCTTTCACTTGATTTCATCATCATCATCTTTATTTTTTTGTTTTTTCTTCAAAAGGTTGGCAGTGCTTATTGGATGGCACCTGAAATGTTAGCTGGACGACCATATGATAATTCAGTTGATGTTTATTCCTTTGGAGTTATAATGTGCCAACTGTTATTACGTTCAGATGCTGATCCGGACAAAATTCCTCGTGATGGTGATACAATGTGTGTTGATATGAATGAAGTAATTAAGTTGAACACTTTCCCTGCAAATATACCTTCAATGTTATTAGATATAACTACACAATGTGTTTCATTAGATCCAACAGAAAGGTGAGTGAGTTTATTCGTACACTTTCCATATTAGTTTGTTTATTAGATGTATCACACAATGGGTGAAACGGTATCACTGTTTACTGGATGACACAGTTTCGAACACAGTTCAGTATTGTTCATAATCATTTCATCAATTATGGTCACATGACTTCGAAATTTGAGTTTCACAGATTTCTTTATCCACTCCTATTTGTCGTCGTAGGCGAAGTAGAATTTTCCAGATATCTGGGTGTCGAATCATTCCTATCACACGTATTCTTTCTCAGTTGATTCGATAAACAAAGCTTCTGTTATCAATCTGTCACTCCATCCTGTGACATTAGATTTTGAAACTGTCATCCCATCCATTTAGTTTATCTAATACCCTGCCTGTGGCGACTGTCAGTTCAAATACATAGGTCAAACTAGTACAACAGTGGCAGTCAGACAAGGCAAGCAAAAAAACCTACTAGGAAAAACTAGATTAGTCGATCCAAATAACAAGACAAGAAATCTGGAGGATAGTTCAGCAATCACACTCATCACATGCATTCACACCGGCCGATAACTGCTACTTTGTCATGGTGGTCGGGCTTGAATACCGTAATGACCCAACATTCTAAACTGACTGGGACTCTGTCCCTGCAGGTCCTATCATGTCAGGAAGGTTGTTTGGATAGCGGTTAAACCAAAAGCAGTTACCATGGGGTACATGGGCTCCAGTATCCAATCGGATCAAATGGCGTAGGAACCCATATGGGTCACTGGCAACTATTGGAATGCAGCTTTTGACGCTGCTCCGCTGCCTTGCGAATTAGACTCCAAGTCAAAGACTCGGGGGTGGTCTCTTAATAAAACCACCTGCTTCGATCTGGGCGCCCGGGTAGTATCTCAACCCGAACACGATGAATTGAATGAAGCGTGCTATTACACGTGTTGCAATTTCCTTCTTTCTTCCCTTCCCGAAGATAGTTGACGAATACTGTTTGAACTTGTTAAGCATGACTGTTTTCCTTCCAGATGAAGTTCTTTATCCGTTCTCTACTTATATATATATTTCTCTTTCTTTTTTTCTTTTGATCTATGTTGTTTTACTATTATTGTGTGGCGCATCCTTCTTGGTGCCATATTGTACCAAGTTTTTATGCGTTTAAATAAATAAACATGCAATTACCCGCAACCGTACAATAGGATGGATGGGATAAGATGACAGTTTTAAAACCTAATGGACAGGTGTTGAATCATTCCTATTACACGTATTCTTTTTCAGTTGACTCGATAAACAAAGCTCCCGTTATCAATCTCTCCCTCCACCCAGCTGCTACATTAGATTTTAAAACAGTCATTTCACCCCCATCCATCCTATTGTATGATTGTTTTAAATGGCATGTAGTGAGTGGTATAGATTTCTTATCTCATTCGGGTCAACAAATCTAGATTCCATTACGTTTCCTCTGATCTGACCCACAGAATCCTTTAATCGACAAAGCCTGTTTCTAATTGAGTTTGTGGGTTTGATTTATTCCTGCCTTGTTAAGAATTCTCCGTAAGGTTTTCGAGGTTTCTCCCTTGTATGGAATTACTACTGATGATTTAGATTCCTGTGATGGCAATTGAACGAAACAATTTAGTTTATCTAATACCCTGCCTGCAATTATTATCAGGTCGAATACATAGTTCAAAGTAGTAGAACAGGGGCAGTCAGTCAGACTAGCTGAACATAAAAACCTAGCAAAATCTGGATTGGTTGACACGAATAAGATAAGAAATCTAGAGAATAGTTCAGCTATAGCACTCACTGCATGCAATTAAACACAATCATACAATAGGATGGATGGGATTAGATGACAGTTTTAAAATCTAATGTAACACTGGGGTGGAGGAAGAGATTGATAACGGAAGCCTTGTTTATCGAATCAACTGAGAAAAAATACATGTCATAGGAATGATTCAACACCTGTCCATCCAGATATCTGGAGAATTCCACTACACCAACGACAACAAATAGGAGAGAAGAAAGAAAACTATAAAACTCAAGTTTCGAAGTCGTGTGATTATAATTGATGGAGTGATTATGAACAGTAATGAATTGTGTTCGACAGTGTGTCATCCAGTAAACAGTAATACCGTTCCACCCACTGTGTGATACATCTAATAAACAAACTAATATGGAATTTAGAAAACAGAAAGATTGAGCGAAGAAATATTTACTTTTCAATTAGATCTTCATCTTTGGCTCTACTCTAATATACACGTAAAGCATTTTAATTACAATACGCAACAGTGTACCAATCAAGTGGCGATAAGTTTGTTGACAATAATTAAACGGTGTCAATAGGTTAATAGTTAACGAAGAAAATCAATACAGATTTAAAAGGTGGAAATGGTGGATAGAATAAATTAATTTTACAAGAATAACACGTAAATTAAAGATGAAGTGGTCAAAATAAATAAAATAAAATAAATAATTTAGACAAATATAATTTTATAGGTTTAGGGGGAAGGGAGTGACGCAGTCCTGTTTATCCATTCTTGTGACGATGGCCGCCACGGCAGGGAAAGTGGCTGTACAAATTTTTTCTGTACACATAGGCTTGGCTTCTTCAGATGAATGCCAATCGCCTCAGCTGTCTGTAGAAGACGAACTCGCAAAGCAAAATTAAGATAAGTTGGAATGAGATAAATAAATAAATTCGCCTCCTCTATGTGTATCTACCAGTTTGACTGCAGCTGCGAAGCCAGCTACATTGGGCGTACAATTAGGCAAGTTCATCGTCGTATTTCCGAACATCATCCAACGTGGTTAAGTAAGGGACAAAAAAGATCTATTCGTAGCTCTATTTTAACCCACCTCGTTGATACTGAGCATAAGATTGATGTTAATACAGCATTTAAAATTATTTATCTCATTCCAACTTATCTTAATTTTGCTTTGCGAGTTCGTCTTCTACAGACAGCTGAGGCGATTGGCATTCATCTGAAGAAGCCAAGCCTATGTGTACAGAAAAAATTTGTACAGCCACTTTCCCTACCGTGGCGGCCATCTTCACAAGAATGGATAAACAGGATTGCGTCACCCCCTTCCCCCTAAACCTATAAAATTATATTTGTCTAAATTATTTATTTTATTTTATTTATTTTGACCACTTTATCTTTAATTTACGTGTTTATTCTTGTAAAATTAATTTATTCTATCCATTCCCACCTTTTAAATCTGTATTGATTTTCTTCGTTAACCTATTAACCCATTGACACTGTTTAATTATTGTCAACAAACTTATCGCCACTTGATTGGTACACTGTTGCGTATTGTAATTAAAATGCTTTACGTGTATATTAGAGTAGAGCCAAAGATGAAGATCTAATTGAAAAGTAAATATTTCTTCGCTCAATCTTTCTGTTTTCTAAATGTCTAAATGTGAATTTTTTCTTTATTAATATGCAATTACTTACTACCACAGTGTCCAAGTTTTACACATACAATTATATATCTTGATTATTTTTTCTAATGAATTCCTGTTAGTAATGATCTTTTTGTCTACTTGAAACATAGATAAGTGTTTTTTTTCATTTTGGCATGAATATCGTAAAATTCGGTGAAACTTTGTAATAACCCCAGAGAGGAGAGTGATATCAAGGCCCTCTTTTCTTCATTCCGTTGTGTTATTCCAACTGGAATATAGAGCTGCAAAATTTGAAGGTTTATTCGCAGTGTTGTTTTTATGATTGTCGGGTTAATGGCCTCAATGTCTCACTTTCACAGACTTAATATCGATTAGTAAACTGGCACCAACGTTTAAGATTGCCTCAGTCGGCTACTGAACCTGGAGTCACATTAGTAGTGAATGGCAAATATACTCTCTGTGTCTGTGAATCTCTCTGCTTTCAACCTAGAACTTTGCAGCGATGTGCATCACGTCAAGTCACCACACTCCGTTCATGTAGCACACAAACCAAGGGAAGAAAATAGGAGAAATGCATAATAGGGACAATAAACAGAGGTGTGAGATAAAGGAATAGTAATAAGGAAGAACTATATAGTTTCATTGGAAATTGTAAGTCACAAGGAGTGGATGCATCTGTGCCAACCATTGAGAACGATTTTTTGCTATATCACTGATTGTCTGCAGCCATCATTGGTTTTTACTCTCCCGAAGATGCCAACTAGTCAGGAAGTCTACACCTCCCTACGTGGCTGGTTGTTTTGTAATTCACTGGCTGATGAAGCCGTGTTTCAGTTTGACCACCACCTGACCCTATGTTATTTAATAGTGCTCGTTGAGGAAGGCGATCGATGGCTAGCGATGCATACGTAACACATGTCCTAACCATCTCAGTCGATGTAGCTTCACAGCCTCGTCTATTGATTTCCCCTGCTAACCTAGAACTCGACGCCTAACCTCAATATTGCTCACCCTATTATACCACTTCACGCGAGAGACAAACAGAACGCAGACACCTATGATCAAATACAACTAGCTAGCCTTTTCATGTCTTCCACTCTCAATAGCCAGGTCTGGCTCACAGCCATAAAGGAGGACAGAGCGGACCGTTGGTGAGCAGTACACCTTTGGTCCTTTGGTCGATAGCCAGCCAGATATCACAGCTACTCGCATTCACGATATCAAAATCTAGGCAACTCTATCTATCCATCTATCTATCTCACATATAATGTCTGCATATTTCTCAGTGAAATAAACAATTTTTTTATGCAGGATCAATTACTTGAAGCCTGAAGAAGATAAAGCGTTAATTGTTATGAAAATAAATAGAAAGTTGTCTGAGTGTATTTTTGTTGTTTAATAAATCGATACCTATAAAGGTGGTTCTATTCACATGAGGAATGTTGTGTTAATAATCAATCTTATAATTATAATGATGGTGATATACCACTCACTCACTATTCGTTGGCTTATTTCGATTGATAATAAGTCGATTGCAGTTATGCTTACTGTTTTTAGTAAGATATTTTGAGCTTCTTTTTATTACAGTCAAGAGAGAGAGAATGTTTTAAAAAA